TACATAAGGATCACCGTGGTCTTTGGAAAAGATACGAGGCAGGGGAGAGTGGGCAGCTGCAGACTCAATGCCTGTACGCTCCCTCTCCCAGAAAGATTTCCAGCCTATTCCCCAGATAGGGTGTTTCTCCCATCCCAGGGACAGTTGCCTGGAGGGGAGTGGGAGTGGGGGATGGAGGAGTGGGAAAAGACTCCCCACATTTTCCCCAGACCAGTCACCCTGGTCTGAGAAAGGTGCAGGAAGCACTGGCCACTGTCCCCTTCTCTTCTGGTCTCTGGGAGACACGGGATTAACAGGACAATGTCCCCTGCCCATTCCTCAGATAGGGTTTCTCCCATCTCCTGCTTCATGTGTTGGTTTAAAGACTTGCCTGCACAACCCATGGGGGATAGAGGAACTTTCTTACGCTCCTGAAAAGACAGTTTCCTGCTCTCTTCAATCTTAAACACCTTGTTCTGGGAAATAGCCACAGAGCAGTAGGAGACTGCTCTCCCCAGCCCCTCCTGGTCTCCAGGAAGGGAGGAAGCAGCAGTAGGGCAATGCTCCCTGCTTGTCCCCCAGCCTGGGTGTCTCCAGTGTGGGGGACAAGAGGGGAGCATTCCCCAGCCCCCCAACTCTTCCCATTCCCAGAAAGAATTTAGCTGCTGCTGCTTCCCCACCTCCATACTACACAGTATCTTATATTATCCTATATTATTGGTCCTTTGTATTCATAATGATTGTAGCTATAAGAAGTAAAGCATCAAAAATATTTGTCAGGAATGGCTAAGGTTTAGCTGATGTTGCCTTTCTGCAGCAGGAAGAGGGAGGGAAAGAAGCTAAATGATTTCTTGAATTCCCCTCCTTCCCTGCTGTCTATGATCCTATGATTTACAGAGTATTCTGCTTTGAATAGAGAAGGAAACAGCTAAAGCTCACCTGGGTTATTTGACAATTTGTAATTCTACCCAGCAAGTGAACCATAATCAGCTACACCCTTGTGTCCTCTATTGTAAAAAACAATACTGCTACTTTTGAAGTGAAGATATTATCACACAGGGTTTAACAGCTTTTCACCCTCAGCAAAGCAGATGAAAACCTGAAAAGTGGAAGCAGTAAAGACTTCCTATTTTTTTTTAGTTTTAATAAAAAAGTTACGTTAAAAGCAACTTGAGGAAAGATGTTAAAAGTCATGATCACATCCATACCAGCAGATATTTTATTTCTCTAGCAGACAAGGGATTTTGGCCCCTCAACCTATCTGTCAAAGTACTATATAAAACTATGGATGCAGTTATTGTCAAAACCAGCTGGACTGTCTTCAGTAGCTCTCAGAGTAAGCCCAATAGTTGCCATTTTTGGCAAATAAAATAAATATATGAGATACTAAGGCTGATCTGTATTATGACTATAGTGCATACATACTAATTTTAGGTCTTCAAAGTAACTGCAGAACCCTGCAAGAATTTTAGACACGTAACAAATAGCCATCGCTTAGCATGTATCACCGGTCCACTTAGTGTAGGAATGAACATGCTTCTCTTAATGCGGTATATGCTTTCTCCTGGCTCCACACAAGCTCTTTCATGGGTTCTGTGAAGGATTCAGATCCAGAAAGAGTTGAAGAAAAAAGGACAATTCAAAGATGTTATCCTAAGCCCATGAGGAAACGCAGCACAACTTCGGACTTTATGTTCTGTGCTGTGGTAATAGGCCTCCTCAACAAGGGTATATTGAGGACAGTGGAAGTGGAGACTGAAAGAGCTATATCTGCTTCAGAGGTGAAGTTGCCTAAACTGTATACAGCTATATATGAACAGAGATAACAAGAAATATACTTTATGAGTAGGATTTTCAAAAGTACCTAAGTGATTGAGGAGCAATAATCCTAGCGACCTTCAATGGGATGCATGGTCTTAAGTCCCATAGGGGCTGTAGAAAATTCTGCCATAATATGGTTACAAATTAGTGCAATGTGTTATAAAAATTTTATCTGTAGGAGTTTAGAATGGCCACATTACTCAGGAGAGGCAAAGCCCAGAAGTGAGTTATGCAGTCATTCCACAGCAGCGTCAATAAAACTTTATACCACACCACTCAGGGCTGCCATACATTCTGTATATGCCACATCTGTTTTAGAAAAA